TTTAGGCCCAGCATGTAGATGTGTGCGATGCAAGTGTTCAACATATATATTAACGAAACGATGGTTTAAGGTGGTTTAAGATGGTTTAATTAAAAATTGAATAAAACTGTTCTAAAGTTATATCTTATTTTAAAATTAATTTCTAACGTAATAATAATCACCGAATTATGCTACTTGAAACTAGGTAATTGCACCCATGACATCCCCCAACCACTTAAAGTCTGGATCTCTCCCCCAGCGATGACCAGATACACGAGATATTTTTAAATCCATGCCATAATTCAATGGCATATCTTCACCACGCCTTCTGAACCATTTCGCACGTTCCAGACGGAAATTATCAATCTTCTCTTTATGTCCATCGCCAATACAATCCCCGGCCCGGATTTCACTTTCTTCTTTGTCAGAACCAGCAAATAGAAGATTTTTGTGTTCCAGCATATTCCTTGTTGGCAGCCCTTCTTCAATTTTAATTTTACGCGTTATTTTTCCTTCGACTTGTGGAGCATCAACGCGAACGTTTTCATTTTTTCTTCGGATAGCTTCTAAATCCTCAAATACTGTTTGGTGTATCCCTAAACTACCTGAAACGTTATCAACATGATTCTTCATGTTCACCTTTTTAGGTGCTATTTTTGAAATGTTCCCACTTCTCACAATGCGGTAACAAATTCTAAGAAAATGGTAATGACTTGTGTAGTCATCCTATTTCCCAACTACATCCAAATACCGCACGTATTGTGACGATAATGTTTGAAATTTTGTATCGATGTTTTCTATTCTTGAGAAATTACCTCTTCCAATCTCCTCCCAAAAATCAAATAAAGCATCGATAAGTTTAACCGTTGTCCCAATTTCTGGCGGCTGTGAATGGAACAGTAAGGCATTTTTTCCACACTGTTCCGATGAACTTAAGCTGTTCACCTCAGCTAAATAATCGATATCTAAACATGGTATTTCTATGGGCACAACAACACCTATGCCGTTTAGAACTCTCCCGATATCTTTAGTAGCATGGCACACACCCAAGGCGTCTATGCAATCCGAGTATGTAATTTTTTTCATACGACGAAGTTCCCTCTCGTTATCTAAATATTCCTTTATTGCTTCTGTAAAGGAACTACCTAATTCGGTACATTTTTCCCTAGCTTCTTCAGTTACACCACACAGAGCAATTCTTTCCATTTCTAAATAAAGTGACACAATATATGCGCCCAACATCCTTTTATGTTGAATGAAGTCTACAAAATTCATATTAACGAAATATATGTGCACTCAAAAAATAAACGAATAAACTAATAACTTTTAACTACTCGTCTATTGCGTTAGTATATGGAGATATAGAAACGTACCTAATTTGTGATCGACCCTTTCTTATCTTCTATTTATGGCCGTGACATTTATTACATTATTTATTACAGACCATAAACCTAGCATATGGAAAACACATGCATCTTAAGTGTTTTCATTATTTAACTAATTTACATTCTTCGAAAAAGACAAATAAAAATGAGATAAGAATTTAAAGAAGAACAATCAACACACAAACTATTTTTACAACATGTACAGTTTCTATAAAACTAAACATTATACGTTTTACGAAACCAATGAATAAGACAAATATTTGTTAAATCGAATATAATAAAAGAGAGATTTATTTTAAATACTTCATTATTTTTTGTGGAAATTAAAAAATGAAAAATTGATATGGAATGTTTCTTCTTATTTTCCCCAACAAAGACAAAAGTATTAGGGATTTTTACTGAAAAAAACAAAAAAACGCAAACGAATAATTTTTTCTTGCAATCAATTTTGAATTGTAAATAACAGAACAGCGTTGGCTTGTTTGTTCGGGATACCATAGTATGTTGATTTTTTTTTCAGTAAAAATCCTTAACACTTTTGTCTTTGTAGGGAGAAGTATCAAAAAAGAAATATTCCAGATCAATTTTTCATTTTAAATTTCCACAAAAAATAATGAATTATTTAAAATAAATCTCGCTTTTATTATATTCGATTTAAAGCTGGCCTCAGACACACCAACAGTTGGCCCAACTTGTCACTTTTAAGTTGTATGAAAAAGTTGGTCGGTCTCCTCGCACGTACCAACTTTTCATTTACAAAGTATTTTGAAGCGCCAACATGAACTCGGATGCTCTTGCGCTACTTTGTTTGTTTTGTTTTCGTTTCTCTTCTTGCGCTCAGCGCTCAGCGTATGTATGTGCTGCTTCACCAAAGTCAAGACATAAATGAAGAAAACACTGAAGTTGGTACAACTTGCCCTCACACGCACCAACAGTTGGCCCAACTTACGAAATTATCAAAAATTTTTGATATTTCCAACCAACTTTCGAAAAAGTTGTACAACTAGCCCCCAAACGTACCAATAGTTGTACCAACTTGTCACAAGTAGGGCCAACTGTTGGTGTGTCTGAGGCCAGCTTAACAAATATTTGTCTTATTTATTGATTTCGTAAAACGTATAAGGCATAACAACGATTTTGTTTAGAATGTAACATACTTTCAGCCCTCAGTAACTGATTACCAGTTACTAAAGTTTCAGAGATTGTACTATCGTTTTTAATTGCTCATATTGGAGTTATTTTCAAAAAGCAGCTGAAATATAAAGACTTGTAAAGGTAAATTTGCGTGAGTTTCACAGTAATTTTTTTTATTGTAATTTTGGCCTTATTGCATAGGTATTTCGAGGGTCTACAAACGGAATGACAAAGGTTATAGCATGATGTAGGATATTCGAAATAATATTGGTAGTAATATGAATAAAATGCATTTTTTAAGTCACCACTCCTTGAAATTGGTTAACCAAAAGATGCGCTGTTGTTTTTCGCCACACAGTTTTCGTGCTCATGTTTCTTTATAGATTTGAAACCTATAATATAAAAAAGGTGGTGGAAGTTAAACAACGCATTAAATTCATATAACTACCAATATTATTTCGAATACCCTCCATCATGCTATAACCATGTCATTCCGTTTGTAGTTCCTCGAAATACCAATAAAAGACCTCACATTTCTCAGTTCAATCTGACACTTAGCTACGCACAAATCTGCAAATTGGAGAAACAAGAATGCCAACCATTAAAGTGTTTTCGGGTACTTCGCATCCACATCTGGCTCAAAGGATTGTCGACCGTTTGGGTATCGATTTGGGCAAAGTGGTCACCAATAAATTCAGCAACTTGGAAACATGTGTCGAAATTGGTGAGTCTGTGCGCGGTGAAGATGTGTACATTGTACAATCTGGTTCCGGTGAGATTAATGACAACTTGATGGAATTACTGATCATGATCAATGCCTGCAAGATCGCATCAGCATCCCGTGTAACAGCTGTGATTCCTTGTTTCCCATATGCTCGCCAAGATAAAAAAAGATATGAGTCGCGCCCCAATTTCCGCGAAATTGGTTGCAAATATGCTATCAGTGGCCGGAGCAGATCACATTATTACTATGGACTTGCATGCATCTCAAATTCAAGGTTTCTTTGATATTCCCGTGGACAATCTTTTTGCTGAACCAGCCGTTCTAAAATGGATCAAAGAAAATATTACAGAATGGAAGAATTCCATTATTGTCTCACCTGATGCTGGTGGGGCTAAACGTGTGACGTCCATTGCTGATCGTTTGAACGTTGAATTCGCACTGATTGGCCAATGAAGTTGCTTCGATGGTGCTTGTCGGTGATGTCAAAGATAAAATTGTTGTATTGGTCGATGATATGGCCGATACATGCGGTACAATTGTTCATGCTGCCGATCGTTTGGTGGAAGCAGGTGCTACAAAGGTTTATGCTATTTTGACACATGGTATCTTTTCTGGACCAGCGATTTCTCGCATAAACAATGCCTGCTTTGAGGCTGTGGTTGTTACAAATACTATTCCCCAGGATGGCCATATGAGAGATTGTCCCAAAATACAGTGCATTGATGTCTCTATGATGTTTGCCGAAGCCGTTAGAAGAACACATAACGGCGAAAGTGTTTCTTATCTCTTCTCAAATGTTCCATATTTTAAATATGTTAAATTTTTTATATTAATCATAATACTTTATACATAAATACTACTGTTCATACTATCTTTGTACAATCTTCTTTTTTCTTCATACAACAATTTTAAAAGAATAACAAAAATAAATTTTGGTTTCCCATTTGACATTGTCGTTAGACGATTATGTATTTCTTAAATGAAATGTTTTTAATTATAAAAAATATGATATTTTTATATAATAAATGAAATATAAATTCTTGATTACGATCTTTTTATTTTAATGGTTGTCTACTTCATGGGGAGGTATTAAAATTAAATAATAAATTTAAGTAAAAAATGGTAATAGGATTTTATTTCATTCTATTTTCTTATTATAGACAATGAAGAAAATCTCTCTAAAATGCGTCAACTAATAGAATTCGTAAATAAAAATGTGCGTCCTTTTTGTAGAATGTAGAATGCCAAATTTTTCACCGTCTTCGTTGCGTGCTCTGAGAGAGCCTGAAAAAAGTACAGTAAATTATCTGATCTGCATCATCTTCAACATCTGATGCTACACCTAATAATGTAAAACATCAAATAATAAAATTGGTTGTTGTATTAACTTTTCATTCCATTTGTAACTTTTCGACGTACTTATATTAGATCCAATAAATACTATACTCTGTATTTTGACGACTTCGCAAATACAAAGCATCATTTTAGAAGCATGACGTCTACGATTATGATATCCTTCATCAGATTTCACTATAAGTAATCAAATAAAAAATATCTTCAAAGAAACTTGTATCAAAGTTGCCCAAAATTTTGAAAATATTTCGCACTTTTATTAATAAAATTTTACCGACTTTTTTGATTTGCTTCATGAAAGAAACAAAACATTTACTTTTAGGCAGAAAATGTTTTTTTTCTATTCCAAATCATAGTAAGCTATTTACATAGGCTTAAAAGTGTTATAGTTAATTACAATTCAAAATTCATTGTAAAGGAAAATTATCAGGCATGTCACAGAATGTAAAATCGTTCAAGAGTGAAAACGAAAACGGTTTTAGCTTCTCTAAAAAACGGAAAACGCAAAAATTTTGCGTTTTGATATCACTTTCAAAAAGCAGGGTGAAATTGAAATGTTTAGTGATTTTAACGTAAAAAATAAACAGAAGACACATACATTTAACAGAAAATATTGTATTAACCAAATTCTCTTAGAATGAACATGTTTTTGGAATTTATTTTACAAAAAATCTATTATTTTTCTAATCCATGATGAAAACGCAAAAAAATATGCAGAAATGAACGGCAGACTTGTATTGTTGAATTATTGCCATATGTGTTGAAGAAGAAGGTGTAGAAATGTACAACTGACAGACCAAAAAGCAAGAAAGGGGAAAAACAAAAAACAATTAATTGTTTGGTTTGAGACAGAGCGCTTCAGTCAATCGGGCAAAAATGTAAGTATTTACATACATATTTCTAAATTTTCGTCAAAAACTGTTTATTTAATTTATTTTATACTTTAGGGGCAAACACAGAAACGTTAAACAGGACAAAATTTTTATCAATTTTATGGATAAACATCACGATATTGCCAGGAGCTATGTAAAAGGTGATAAGGTTGTTGTTGATTCTCTATAGACGGAATTGACAGCTTTGCTGAATAGTTCAGGTCCACCAAGTAAAACCTGTAAAGAATGGAAGAAAGTTTGGTCAGATTGGAAAGGAAATGTTAAGGCGAAGATGTGCCATAATAAAAAGGACTTGCGAGGAACTGGTGGTGGTGATATCAATCAATATGTTTTCAGTGAACACGAGAACAGTTTAATCAGAATTTGCGGATTGTATAAAAGTGTCGATGGAGTTGGTGGTGCAGTAAGCTTTGCGGATTTTGTAAGTGAATTAGACCTCAGTTGTTCTGAAAAAGAAAACTTTGATTCGTCATCATCTACACATATTCCAAGAACTCGAAAATCAAGTCAATTAGTTTTAAGTGAATCTGAAAACGAAGAGCTTAATTTTTCACCCTTAACTTCAAAGCAGACCACTTCGATTTTAAATAAAAAAGATAGACCAAGATCATGCATTCCAGCTGATTTTAAAAATGTTTCTACATTGGCAATTGATCCAATAACACCAACATTGGAAGAAATCCGTTCGCGAACACCTATTCAAAAACGACTTAGAAATAAAAGCTTATCGTGTTCTCCGCCATCTACACCAATAAGACAAGTGTCGGGCAGCCTAACAAAAGCAAAACCCACGCCTGCAGTAAAAAGACCCCGGGCAAAAACTCCCTCAAAGCAAGATCTAAATGCGCTTTTAGTTGAGGAAAATTCTCATTTACAAACTTGGAAAAAATTTGTAAAATTCTAGAAGATAACAGTAAGGAAATGAAAAAACAAACTGAAAAGTTGGACAGACTTTGTAACATCCTGGAAAAAAAGTATGTGGAAGAGCAGTTACATAATATTGAAATGCAAAAGAGAATGCGTGAACGAAACGAAATGAAACTCAAAATAGTTGAACTTGAAACTCTTTAAGTATGCTGTAGAACAGGAAAAAGCAAATACGACTCGTTCTTAACTTTACATTATTTTACACAATGGACTAAAAACAATCTGTTTTTCGTTTTATAAAATGTTTTTTTTTTTTTATTATTTAAATGAATTGAAATAAAAAATGTATTAGTTCATTTGACTAGCAATATTATTTCTAATACGTTTGGCTACGTTGTACATATTTATTTCAGGGTAGATATCCACAATATTTTGGTCGTTTTCAGAATTTTCCTCATTTGTAACAGGTATCTCGTCTTCTTCGCAAGTATTGAAGCCCCTGGCATTTTTACTTTGGTGTTTATATTATAAAAAACAATTTAAACTCCTTTTTTAATTGTCAATAATTTGTTTACGACTTTTTTTTTTCATGGAGTTACCATATTTTTATTTCAAAAATGTGAAATGATTTTTTTTCCGGATTAGTCAAATCGTACGAGTGCTGAAGAAGCAAAAGCAAATCGTAACGATTTGGAAAAGGTGAAATAAATCGATTTCGTAAAACTTCTGTGACATGCCTGTATGTGTTTGCGTTTTTTGTTTTTTTTTTTTCAACCTGCGCAAACCAAATCTTCCATTAATCTGATACTTTGAAACAACTCTAGTTTAGTAAAAACTCTTCGATTTTTTCCAGAGGTAAGTATTTTTACCCTGATTCCGGGTAAACTACTTTTTTCTTGGGGGACGGACCTGGGACCACGATTTTTAAACCGAAAGTCCAAGTTCGCGGTGTAGGACATACACTGAGGAGAAAAGCTCAAGCCCCGGCCGAAGGCCGGCGACTTACAAAAAGTATCAAATTTGGAAAACTTTGGTTCGCGTTAGCCGGTGTGGCAAATACCCAGAGAAGAAAATCTCAAGCCCGGACGAAGGCGGCTACTTACAACAACTGTTAAATTTACCCAGAAGAGAATATCTCTGGACCCGAAAAATGTATTAGCACAAATTGTAGCATTTTGGAATTGAGTTATGCGAATGGAAAGACCCATATCTCTGGACCCGAAAAAGGTATTAGCACAAATTGTAGGATTTTGGAAAGGTAAGAGTGTCAGCTATAATTTGGCATCAACTTTGTTGATCCCTATAATGGAACCTTTTTCGACTTTTTGAGTTTTTATAAAAAATCCGGGTCCAAAAAATCGATAATTTGACTATATATTCCAAACCGTGACAACTTCATGTGACCACTTGTTGGATAGGTATTTTCATAACCGGGTCCGGGTCTTGAACCCGGACTTTCGGGTCAAAAATCGGGGGTCCCGGGATCGTCCTCCAAGAAAAAATAGTTTTCCGCAATCAAGGTTGTATGACAGAAGGTTTTATTTATTTTTGCGCCCGAATTAATAAATAAAACGCACTATAGGTTTCGAATTTAATTACAAGTTTATTTTGCTTCAATATGTTTGCCGGTCATATGTCAACTAAACTTATTTATTTTCTAATCCCTTCTTAAGGGCTACAAAAAAGGGGGAACAAAACAAATTCTGAAACTTCAAAACAAACAACGACTAATCGTGAAACATGAAATTCGCACAAAACAAAATGTAAACAAAACAAAGGGCCACAGTTATAAATATGTATGTTACTATACATACATACAAAACTGACAAACAACAGTGTTGTTGTTGTTACCCACAACACAAAACCAACGAAGAAGACGAATAACAGACAAATGCCTAAACGACTGTAGGCATTGTTGTTATTGTCTCTCGTTGAGACGCATATAACACAAAACGAAACAACGATAACAATACACACATTAGGTTGTGACGAATAAATTTAGGAAATATGGAACATTAGTGTGGGTCGACAAAAATAAGAATATATAAAATTAATATTAAATTAAATACAATGAAATGAATGACCCAACACTTCGAAGTAATTAAAATTAACAAATCGACGAAAAGCACATAAAATATATGAATTTATGCTCCTCCAACATCCTCCGCCCATTGATGCGTCAAGGTTCAAACATCTTGGTGTGGTAAAGGGGCCATTTTATGGATTGGCCGACAACTGGATCCATTCTTTATCTGCAATTTCGCAACTCGTACTTTGCCATCACGACCTGGAATACATTTGGTTATTCGCGCTAAGAGCCACCGATGAGAGGGTGTGTTGTCTTCATGGACGACGACGAGTTGGCCTTCAACGATATTTCTCCATTCGGTGAACCACTTGGAGCGTTGTTGGAGCGACAATAGGTAATCTCTGGACCTCATATTCCAAAACTGTCGTTTTAAGTATGAGATTTTTTACCATCGTGTAAGTAAAGATGGTTTTGTTACATCTAAATTTGGTTCTGGTATTGCCACCATCGAGGAACAAATTAAGAAGTGGCCAGGGATTAAGGTTTCTCCATCATTAGGATCATCGGACATGGGAGCTATTGGACGAGAGTTCAGTATAGCTTCGATTTCAACAACGAGTGTTTGCAACTCTTCAAATGTGAGATACGCGTCAGAAATATTTTTAATGAGCAACGTTTTTGTCCGTTTAACGGCAGCCTCTTACAATCCGCCGAAGTGTAGGGCACGAGGGGGTATGAAATTGAAGACCCATTTGGCAGCAAACAGACTTCATCTTCTGGACAACTTCATCTTTGTAAAACGATTCTTTGATATCTCTGAGCTGATTATGGGCTCCAACGAAATTGGTAGCGTTGTCGCAAAAGAGCTTTTGGGGAATACAACGTCTTCCAACGAACCTTTTGAGACACATTATGAAGTTGTTTGTTGACAAATCCGAAACAAGTTCCAAATGTGTTGCTTTAGAACTGAAGCAAACAAAAACAGCGATGTATGTTTTGTAGGTCACTTTCCACGAATTCGATACGATGTCATAAATGGACCACAAAAATCAACTCCAGTGACTAGGAATGGACGATGAGCTCCAAAACGATCAACAGGCAAATTACCCATAATTTGCCCCAACAATTTTGGCTTGTAATGAAAGCAGTGAACGCAATTTCGAACTACTTTTCGAACAACTTCTCTGGCGTTTACGATCCATATCTTCTGGCGCAATATGGCCAACAGCACTTTAGGCCCAGCATGTAGATATGTGCGATGCAAGTGTTCAACATATATATTAACGAAACGATGGTTTAAGATGGTTTAATTAAAACTTGAATAAAACTGTTCTAAAGTTATATCTTATTTTAAAATTAATTTCTAACGTAATAATAATCACCGAAGTATGCTACTTGAAACTAGGTAATTGCACCCATGACATCCCCCAACCACTTAAAGTCTGGATCTCTCCCCCAGCGATGACCAGATACCCGAGATATTTTTAAATCCATGCCATAATTCAATGGCATATCTTCACCACGCCTTCTGAACCATTTCGCACGTTCCAGACGGAAATTATCAATCTTCTCTTTATGTCCATCGCCAATACAATCCCCGGCCCGGATTTCACTTTCTTCTTTGTCAGAACCAGCAAATAGAAGATTTTTGTGTTCCAGCATATTCCTTGTTGGCAGCCCTTCTTCAATTTTAATTTTACGCGTTATTTTTCCTTCGACTTGTGGAACATCAACGCGAACGTTTTCATTTTTTCTTCGGATAGCTTCTAAATCCTCAAATACTGTTTGGTGTATCCCTAAACTACCTGAAACGTTATCAACATGATTCTTCATGTTCACCTTTTTAGGTGCTATTTTTGAAATGTTCCCACTTCTCACAATGCGGTAACAAATTCTAAGAAAATGGTGATGACTTGTGTAGTCATCCTATTTCCCAACTACATCCAAATACCGCACGTATTGTGACGATAATGTTTGAAATTTTGTATCGATGTTTTCTATTCTTGAGAAATTACCTCTTCCAATCTCCTCCCAAAAATCAAATAAAGCATCGATAAGTTTAACCGTTGTCCCAATTTCTGGCGGCTGTGAATGGAACAGTAAGGCATTTTTTCCACACTGTTCCGATGAACTTAAGCTGTTCACCTCAGCTAAATAATCGATATCTAAACATGGTATTTCTATGGGCACAACAACACCTATGCCGTTTAGAACTCTCCCGATATCTTTAGTAGCATGGCACACACCCAAGGCGTCTATGCAATCCGAGTATGTAATTTTTTCATACGACGAAGTTCCCTCTCGTTATCTAAATATTCCTTTATTGCTTCTGTAAAGGAACTACCTAATTCGGTACATTTTTCCCTAGCTTCTTCAGTTACACCACACAGAGCAATTCTTTCCATTTCTAAATAAAGTGACACAATATATGCGCCCAACATCCTTTTATGTTGAATGAAGTCTACAAAATTCATATTAACGAAATATATGTGCACTCAAAAAATAAACGAATAAACTAATCACTTTTAACTACTCGTCTATTGCGTTAGTATATGGAGATATAGAAACGTACCTAATTTGTGATCGACCCTTTCTTATCTTCTATTTATGGCCGTGACATTTATTACATTATTTATTACAGACC